AACATAAATCTAAGTGTTATTAAGAACTGAGAAATGAAACATATAAATATTTAATTAAAAAATGAAAAGTATAGATTTTCAGAGGATAATAATAATAAGTCAGTTTATTGTTGTTTATTGTACATGCAAATAATAATACTAACAATTATACCATATTTAAAAATCGTTTGGGGAGAACATTCCTGGCTCCGAAAACGTCAACATCACTGCAAACAACATCAGCAGCTACTGCACATCTAGCAAAGGGACAATTATTAGATGAGGAGCAAACATTGAACACTGCAAAATCTCTGATTACCGAGCAGGAATTCGGAGACCAACAATTTCCAGAACAGAAGGGCAGAATTTCGAGCCAAAATAAACGTGAATAAGAAAGAGAGCATCAAGGCGATGTCTCCTAGTGCGTTAAGAATGCAATTGTAACTCCTCAAGAGCAAGAGAATAGCTGTAATGGACTTGAGGAAAGAAACGATTAAACAAAGGGCCGCAAACCTCTGCTGGATACGTTCCAGCTGTTGGCATCAGTTGACGTAGTCGAATTCCAGGCTACGGACGCATATTCAGGCTTAGGTCTAACCAATGCAGTGAACAATCTGAGCGTACAGCCTAAGGTGAGAAACTGAAGGTAATGTTACGAACCAGACCCAACAGTTTAGCACAGTGAGAGAAAATGTAATTGACCTGGTCATGGAAATATAGCTCAGCATCAATACACAACTCCCAGGTCTTTTATGGAATCGGTCCGGCCTACTGAAGATTGACAAAGTTCATAATCGTAGATCAGTACGTTGGTTTCCCTGGAGAAGGATATAACTTTAGTTTTACTGATGTTGAGTGTCATACAGTTAGCAATGCACCAACCTGTCTATAGTTGTACTCGTAATGTCAGACCGAAGTAGACAGCAGTGCCGAGGAGAACTAATGACTCGGTAAATTTTGACGTCATCAGCTAAAAAACAGACACTTAGGGTACGGCCTGAGTGCGGCGGGGCGTGGGCAACTTTATGGCAGGGACAGCAGCGGGCCGCACCTCTAGCGTTCAGCGTTTATATCCTCAAAAGACTGAAACACAAACTGGTTTGACCTGCACGGTGCCCGCTCCGCTCAAAACGCTCGGTCCCAGGACACGCCAATATATTCACACGGGTTTGTGATGCACGCTCCACGCCCCGCTGCACTCAGGCCGTACCCTTAAGAGTGGGCAACTTCATCGCACGTCATTAATAAACACATTGAAGAGAAAGGGCCCCAAGGCAGATCCAGAGAATTTCAAAAGGCGAGGAAAGAACACCAGAAACACGGACCTGAGATTTCCGGTTGGATAGGTAACCGCGAAACCAGCTTACATATACACCAGAAAGCCCAGTAGCACTAAGCTTGTGAAGAAGAAGAAGAAGAAGAAGAAAATGTGAGACGAGGTCGAATACATTGCTCAAATCAAAATAAATGGCATCAGCTTGTCTCTGAGACCCGACTATAGGGGAGATCAAATCAACGTACGTTACCAGATTGGTGCTTGTGAATTTACTTCTCGAGAAGCCGTACTGATAAGGACTAATTTTTGATTTTAGATAATGGGAAACATGATCATGAACAATAAATTCAAATATTTCTCAGTACAGATATAGGCCTATAGTTGCTAACAGAGGTACTTTTGTCTTTTTTGAGAACAGAACAATTGCTGCTTGCTTCCACAGGGAGGGAAAGTAATGCTGGGATATGCTTAGATTAAAGATATGTTTAAAAATAGGTATAAATATATCAGTACAGCCCTTAATAATGAATCCAGGGATGTCGACTCCAAAAGACTAAGCCTGGTCTCAAGCGCTTAATAGCTTTAATAACATCGGAATCAGAAACAGACGCCAAAGGTAAGAATTCGGAAGATGACAACAGGCTGGGGAAGACAATAGGACCAGGATTGTGGTACACCGTTTCAAATGCTTTGAAAATTCATCAGCAATGTCATGAGGTTCGATTAAATGCTTACCATCAACCTCAAGCTGGATGGAATTAGAATTTCGTTTCCTAAAGGAGGCCACATATTTCCAGAATTGCTTGGGTTGCGACTTTAAATATTCGTCCACAAATTTCAACCATCTAAGTCTGTCAGACTTAATAGTAGACTTAACTAGCTTACGATAAAAGGAAAATTTTTGGTAAAGGCATTCGGATTTTTTTTAAATGTGTGTAAAAATAGTTCTTTTCCCTTATATAATACCTTAAGGAAGTAGAATTCCAGTGCGGGAATTTCATACGAGTGTTCATGATGCCACGGGGAATTGCATGTTTCATGGCATCTTGAACAGCAGCATTGAGGCCGGCGACAGTAGAATCCACAGAGGGGGTACCATACACACAGGACCAGTCGTAAGTTGAAAGATTATTATAAAGCAGTGCATAATCCCCAGACTACAATTTACGGCACAAATATCTATAGTTTTGAATACAAGTGGCAAGGGACAAACAAATATCGATAATCAGTGGGGGGGGGGTAATTGTCAGGCTTTATAAGTCCAGAGTCAACAGGAGTAATACTTATGTCGCTAAAGTTAGAAGAAATGAAATCAAGTAGACTGCTGCTGCTGACAGTATCAATGCACTGATTAAGATTTAGTAGACACGTGGAAGTGTAGATCGCATCTCCCTTAAGTTTAGAGTAATAATGGGAATTGGGCAGAGTAAGACCACTTTTCCAGTCGAAACCAGGGGCATTAAAATCCCCAACCATAATTAATCCAAAATTACGGGTATCCAGATTGTTTTCTAAAAAACGAAAGTAATTAGCAATGTTTTCAGGATTAGCGTCAGGGGGAAAGTAATGATTTCCAATGAGTAAGTTGAGGCCGTCTGAAGTGGGGATTTCAACCCATACACATTCATCGCAAGATTCTAAACCGTATCTGCGTTTACAGGAGAGAATTATGGAGGATAGGGCAGTGAGAACTCCACCACCACGTGTTTTATTTACAGACGCCCTCTCAGAACGGAAAACTGTATAGCAGTCAGGAAGTGAATTATGATCGTAACACAGGTCGTTTAGCCATGTCTCAGTTAAATATATAATATTGTAGTACGTGGAGCAGATATTGTCGTAAAGTTCGACTTGTTTAGTCCCAAGACATCTGACGTTCTGATAATATATGTCAAAACATTTTCCCGGATGTTTGCGAGACCTGGCGAAACAACCTGTGTTGTTGTCAGGCTTACTATCCATTAATTATGTACAGAAGCGCCCTCCCCCTGGGCAACGACATTGTTTACCGTATTTATGGGTTCGCCTAAAGCAGGCATGTCAAACCCAACTTGTACAGAGGGCCACCTCAGCCCTATAAATAATAGTCCAGGGCCCACTTCAAAATAGAAATATACATTACATTTTGATACAAGGAAATTTAATTCTATTTATTATTTAGGAATAATTTAAATATAATTACCTAAAGTCACATATCTTACAGTTTTAAAAAGCAAGAGAATGCCATTTTTGACAAGTATCAAACAACTTTTCAATATGTAAAAAGAGAGATTACACAAGAAATTATGTTAGAAATAGCAAAACATTGAATTTCCTGCAGCTTGTTAATTTATGTCTGCGTGAGACTTCTTGTCTTCTGGTCTGCCGGAAAATTGTCTTTAGAAAAAAACATTTCTACTAAAATTTTAATATTGATTTTAATATCAATTAGCTCTAAAAGTTGAAGGGCGGCATGTTTGAAACGGCTGGCCTACAGGATCTAT